CGATCGAATTGATAGAAATGAATACAATAGCAGCTAAGTTGTCGTTGAACTGCAACGTTTATAAATCACGCCACCTATGTACTCTATTTTCGCGATAGAAGTAACATACGTATGTATTAGGAAAGTAGTTTAATTCAGTTTGAAATATTTCAATGATTTTTTACCGTGTTGAAATTTGTTTAGATTTTTAGAGATTTTCGTTTCCATTAGATTGCGATCTTTGCAAATTTTGTTAGATTGGGACTTCATTTCCATTAGATTTGGACCTCTGAAAATTTTGTTAGATTGAGACACCATTTCTATTAAATTGGGACCTCTACAAAGTTGGTCACATTGGGACTCTATTTTCATTAAATTGGGACCTTCACAAATTTGGTCACATTGAGACTCCATTTCCAGTACATCAGGGCCTTCGAAAATTTTGTTATTTTGAGACTCAATTTCTATTAGATTGGGTCCTCCACAAATTTTGTTGGATTGGGACTCCATTTCTATTAAATTGGGACCTCTACAAAGTTGGTCACATTGGGACTCCATTTCCAGTAGATTAGGGCCTCCGAAAATTTTGTTAGATCGGGATTCCATTTCCATTAGATTGGGACCTCCACAAATTTTATTAGATTGGGACACCATTTCTATTAGATTGGGACCTCTACAAATTTGGTCACATTGGGACTTCATTTCCAGTAGATTGGGACCTCCAAAAATTTTGATAGATTGGCACCCCATTTCCATTAAATTGGGACCTCCACAAATTTGGTCACATTGGGACTTCATTTCCATCGCAAAAATACCAGGTATACAAGAAGGGCATCTACAGTGTAACTTTAAACGATTTAATTGTCATTAATTGTTTTAAAAATTTAGGTACCAAATTCATATTTAAAAATTCACACCCCTTAGATGCAAGCTTATTCGATGATTTTGAGTGATATATTATAGTTACAAGATACTGTCTTCTTCTGCGAGCATTTTAGAAACAAATAGTCTCTATCACAATGCGTCATCATAAAACTTGATGTCTACCATTTTTCTCAGATAATCTTGAGTAGTTCTGGGACGCTATAAGTATTTTTCATTTCAAGTGCGATTCAATAATCTTCAACCATGATCATTACTGATAATTATTACATTTGTATTAAGATTATTTATCAAATTTGTCACGAAATTTGAAATAATGTGCTTCCTATATTAATAAATATTAAAAAACTGTACTTTAACTTAGTTGCCTTTTAATGTTTAATTATTGTGGTGCCATA